CCTATTTGCAGCAATCGGGTCACTCAGGGCGAGCAATCCCCATCATTCACCATAGCCTGCAGCAGTCCACAACAATACATTGCATTTTTAAATATAATAATTTTTAATAATTTTTCATTAATAACAATCCAGTATACACTACATTAATACAATACCAAATCATAATTCAATTTAAAAAGCCAATTGTCAGATTTCAAATTAAACATTTTGGTTGAGTTCCCATGTTCTAATTTTAGGAGATTTTTTAGGAGATGTTGATTCCTTTTTGCTGCTTCAATCCAATTTAACCCAATTAATACAGTTCCCATGTTGATCCTGTATTTTATCAGCCACTGATGTGTTGACTTTCATTCGTATTTAACTGTTCCATATCCGTTAATTTGCAAGAGGAGTTTATATCTGGTAACTTTCTGTGTGGAATGTTTTTTTTTTTAATTGTTCAACCTTCCTTTCTTGTTGCAATCAATCATTTCCAGCATTTCCCCCCTGCTCCAAGGACTCAGTTTTACTGCGTAGTGACCTTTCACCACCTCGCTTTTCTCAAAACCGAAAGTGGTCTGGCATCTGGCCATTAATCTGGGCAGACTTCCAGTATTTTCTTTCAATACTTTCCCATGTGATAACAAGCTGATGTCTCATCAACACCATAATAAATCAAAGTTATAATCCTCCGTGGGAGGGTATTGCCACAGAACATCCCAACATGTTCCACGCAGTTTCATTCTTTGAATTAATCCATAAGCATTATAAAGTTCTGATTGATTCCCTCTTGCAATCCATTAATAATTGCAATCCATTAGTAACTTATTTTTTGCTTCGGTGAAGAGATGCCATATTATAAAAAAAGCATGGTGAATATATAAAGAGAAAACAAAGGCTTCTCTCTACCACATACCAATCCAATTACGATTAAAATCTTCTCCAGATTGAGTCCTTGACACTCAGTGGCTGATTCATTCAGCAGCAGGTTAACTTGTCTCCTTCTTCCAGAACATGCCTGCTTCTCAAGTCTCAATTTGGATATAGCTTAAAAAACAGAAGAATCTCTGTGCATGGTGACCACATTGGAGAGTTTCCAATGCATGCAGGGCATTCTGTAGGAGCGGGAGGCAGCTACTGGGCAATCTGCGAATGAGAGCGCTCCCCCCGACCTGGGTTGCAATGATAATTATTCTCAAATTACCCTTAATTGTCTGCATGCTATGGTGAGAACCATTGTTCACCATGGCGGCAAAAAACGGAAGTCCGCAATCTATTCATAACGATTATGATTATGATTACGATATCTTTATTGTCATTGTCCCATGCAGAACAATGAAATTTGAAAAACTACATAAAAACTACATGAAACTACCACAAAACTACATAAAACTACATAAAAACTACATAAAACTACATAAAAACTACATAAAACATTAAAAAAACCCTAAAAACTCTAAAACCCCATTTTAAAACACACTATACTTATGCTGCGTTTAGAACCAGAATTGCATTTGCATAGAAACTGTTTCTCAGGTGGCTAGTCCTGGCCTTTATAACCCTATACCTTCTTCCAGAAGGCAGAAGCTGAAAGAGATCATTGTCGGGGTGCGGACTATCCTGTGCTATACATTTCAAACAAAATCAAGTTACACTACACCTTTATCCGCTGCCGTAATACCACAGAACAATCCCTCCAATTCTCAGTCTCCCATCACTGCCAAGAAATCTCTCCCTCTCAGCTCACTTTCACAATAAGTTTGAGAATTCACTGTCCCAAGGGAGGGAAGTAACTCATGGCTCTTGATCATAAAACCTATAGGTCCTGGGGCAGCTCAGGAATCATGGCTTCTGTGGCAACCATGAGACTGTCTCAGTAAATTAAAGGCTCATTAGGCAGGGTATGGACGCGGGTGGCGCTGTGGGTTAAACCACAGAGCCTAGGACTTGCCAATCAGAAGGTTGGTGGTTCGAATCCCTGTGACGGGGTGAGCTCCCGTTGCCTGGTCCCTGCTCCTGCCAACCCAGCAGTTTGAAAGCACTTCAAAGTGCAAGTAGATAAATAGGTACCGCTCCGGCGGGAAGGTAAACGGCGTTTCCGTGCACTGCTCTGGTTCACCAGAAGCGGCTTAGTCATGCTGGCCACCCGGCTCTCTCGGCCAATAAAGCTAGATGAGTGCCACAACCCCAGAGTCGGCCACGACTGGACCTAATGTTCAGGGGTCCCTTTACCTTTACCTAGGCAGGTTTCTGCAAGGGAGTGGGAAGGCAGAAATCCATCGATAGCGGGGTTTGTGCTGAGCCCATTCTCAGATAGATCAGTGGCGTAGCGTGGGGGGTGCAGGGGGGGCCGGCCGCACCGGGCGCAACATCTGGTTGTTAGGGCAAATCCACGGGTTAGGGGGCGCAAATCCACGGGTTAGGGGGCGCAAATTACTTGCCTTGCCCCGGGTGCTGACAACCCACGCTACGCCACTGAGATAGATCATTTCCCTTTTTAAATCCTCATAAAACCTGAGAAGTTGATCTGAAGAATCTTTATTTGCATCAGCCACTAGCCATAGGAATACAATAAAAGAAAATGTACTGAAGATAGAGGTAAAAACTTAACTTTACAAAATACATTTTGGAGGTTTAGATCAATAATCAAATAATCAAATAATAGATCTTATTCTAATTGCCCCCACTAAATACCTTGCAGATTTTGCTGCCACCTGGTCATCTTGATCCGCTGGAAGAAAGGACACAGTAGCAATGGTTGAGCAACCCAGCATGGACAATAGAAGAGGGGTAATACCCTCACTCCTCAAATCTTTATAAAGAGTGCAACCAGAAGCTCATGAGCCACTGACTCAATACTGCCATCTCCACATGGACATCATTGTTTTTCCAGTGGAATTTTCTGAAATTGACCCTCAAGTACAGCTGAAGGCAGTTTATTCAAGCTTGCGAATGTGAAAGCTCATCTGTATTTTGGAATTGTTAAATTTTGCAAATAGGGTGCCCAAGTGTCAAAATGACTAGGTAGAAAATAATCATACCATGGACAAAATTGCTTTATTGTGGCCAAATTATTCTGTCGCTCAATTAGGTGCTGTCTAATTTAATTATTTACTTTACTTAAAGCCCAGTGTTAATAACTGTTGTGATGATAAACCAGAAAAGTAAAGCTTTTGGTTGACAATTATAGTCGAAGCACTCTCATGACAATCTTACAATACTAAGGGTAGTAGACCAGTGGGGTTTAAATTTAGGCAAAGCCAATAATTAAATGTCCTACACCAAACCTGTAATTCAACTGAGGGGAGACTAGCCTCTAAGCGCAATGAAGCATTTGGAACACAGGATGGAACAGAAAAAAATTGCCTTAGGAACTTAGGTTGAACAGCTTCTGTAGATCCAAGGTGAGGCCCTGCCCAAATCTGAGCCCATATAATAACTGTGCCAGGGGTTTAGCTTTAAACAGGCCTGATGGTATACGATTGCCACCTTTGTATGTAAAAAGCCTGTCAGAATTTTGGTGCTTTGAGATGCTTTTTCCTTTGCATATTTCTGATGTGCTCCCCACGACCCTGCTGACTGAAAAATAGGGGAAAGGTATTTAAAGACTTTAACTTGTTCGATCAACAGATTATTCACATACCGCCTATGGTTCCTATAATTTCTTGAAAATTTAGTTTGACTTCTTGCAATTCACAGCCAGGTGTTCTCTTTGGCAGTATCCTGAGAACGCCCTCATCAACCTTTTTAGGCCCACTTTTGTTTGCGATAGTAGTACCATTTATTTAATTATTAGATTATCTCATTATTTATTTCACTTCTATACCACTTTATATTTTAAGAAAAATCTCAAAGCAGTTTAAAGCACATTAAAACATCAATAAGACAATCTGAAGAAAGTCAAATATAGAGTATACAGTCAAAGCAACATAATTAACTAAAAAAACAAACAAACTAAATTATCCCAAAGATTTCAAAATAAAACATTACAAAGGAGGTCAACTACAGAATACACACTCCACAAAGTAAGTTAACAAAAAACAAAACTTAAACATTTTTTTTTAAAAAAAACACTGCTAAGTGAGGTCAAATATAAAATGCACATTTAAAACAGCATAACTAACAAAAGAATAAAACATTATCATAAGCATGTCACAGCTGCTTGGCAGGCACTAAAAGATGGGGCAAAATAATCCAATAGTTAGGGTTTGTTGTCAGGCAATGTCCCTCTGGTCTCAGCAGGCACCGCTTCAGTAGAGCTGGTGAGTCTGGGCCCCACCCCCTAGGCCAGGTGGAAAGGGCCTTGCAGGGAGCGGCCTTCATGACTCACAGCAATACCTGAGCTCAGTGGATCACCCAGGGTGGTTATTTATGCTTCTGATTTGCTTTATCCATTATTGAGAATAGTGTATTTGGTTCTCTGTGCTTCCTCATTTTTGCTCTGTTTTTACAAGAAGATGAATAACCAGCAAGAAACTGAGGCTGATAGCAAATTTTGGGGCATTCCAAGGCAAGTTACATATATGTTTAGAAAGATATGCCATGGTGAGGAGACAGAGGTAGAGCAGCCAGCTGAGATGTTATCACTGGAGAGTATTTCTGACCCCCCTTCTCCCAGAACCCGGCGTTCGTTGAGAGTGCAAGAGAAAAGGACTCAGAGACAATTATCCCCTGGCGGCCACTGTAAGGAAAAGTGCTGTTGGTAGGAAGGGAGTGGAGAGGATCTCAGTTGGAGCAATGCCATTGTCTCTCACTGTGATGATTGAATAAATTCGTTAAGTAAGAACTCTTCTTGTTTTTCTCTGCTTCTTGCTGCCACCGGGGGAGGGGGAGGAATAAAACAATAGATATAGATATAGATGTAGATGTAGATGTAGATGTAGATGTAGATGTAGATGTAAATGATATAGATGTAGATAGATATAATCATCATCATATTGTAAACTGCCTGATGAACTTCAGTTTTTAATGAGTCTGTGACTGAATTGTAGGCACTGCATGACAGAGTAAAATGGACCAACATGTATGTATGCGATTATTCCTCTGACTTAACTGATGAACGCATGCTGGACTTGGATCCTTCACCTCCACCTGACAGTATTGAACATGTGCCGAATGCCAGAGACCCTTTGATATCAGAGCATGTCAACCTGGAATTTCTGGGGCTCCAAAGCAAGCAATACATGCTGCATAATTAATGCAGCATGGTGCCAATGGAAGAGCTTTTACTGGAGCAGCACTAGGATTCAATATTGTGAACAGAACATGTTATTAAGGTTTGTGTATTACATCATGTTCTTATCTCATACACAACTTATAGTGGGAGAAGCCACCAGCAAATGGAGGTAACACAGTTGTCACAATACCTACCTTTACCCCTTAGTCAATAGCTGGTTATGTGACATGGTTGCTATTGTAGGTGTGACTTTAATTACAATAATTTTAATTACAAATGGGCACAACCTCTTAGCAGTCTTTTTCACAATGCTTGGTTTCTTCATACAAATGGCACACTCATCACAGTCTCTTTAAAGCACCACAGAAAGGGACCTTTCTCCATAGGGGTGGAAATTAGCCTACGAAAAAGTGCACCAGCCAGGACTTCTGCTGCATCCACAGAGAGGTGACTGAAGCAAAGGTGATTTAGACTTACCAGGAATGTAAGTAAAAAAAATTGTTCATAGAATCATAAAGTGTAGAACTGGAAGGGATTCCAAGGGTCATCTAGTCAACCCTCTTCAATGCAGGAATCTCATCAAAGTCTCTCATTCAGTTTGAAACCATAGTAGACCCTGCTTCGTTTGCAAATGTCCTGTTGTTGTTGTTGTTGTTGTTTAGTCGTTTAGTCATGTCCGACTCTTCGTGACCCCATGGACCAGAGCACGCCAGGCACTTCTGTCTTCCATTGCCTCCCGCAGTTTGTTCAAATTCATGCTGGTAGCTTCGAGAACACTGTCCAACCATCTCATCCTCTGTCGTCCCCTTCTCCTTGTGCCCTCTATCTTTCCCTCCCTTTTCCAGGGAGTCTTCTCTTCTCATGAGGTGGCCAAAGTATTGGAGCCTCAGCTTCACAATCTGTCTTTCCAGTGAGTACTCTGGGCTGATTTCCTTCAGAATGGATAGGTTTGATTTTCTTGCAGTCCATGGGACTCTCAAGAGGCTCCTCCAGCACCATAATTCAAAAGCACCAATTCTTCGGCGATCAGCCTTCTGTATGGTCCAGCTCTCACTTCCATACATCACTACTGGGAAAACCATAGCTTTAACTATATGGACCTTTGTTGGCAAGGTGATGTCTCTGCTTTTTAAGATGTTCTAGTAGTTGTATTATTTGTTACTTCCTGTGCAGGAGTCATCAGAGAGAGAGAGAGAGAGAGAGAGAGAGAGAGAGAGAGATGCTCTGTGTGTGTGTGTGTGTGTGTGTTTGTGTGCGTGTAAAAACTAGTTGTATGAACATCTTAGCCTGTTTCCACACTATCAACTTAAAACACAGCTAGGATGTTCATTTCTTTTAGTCAGGGTTGATTTGAAGCTGGGATAGATATGGATGGTAGCTAATGTCAAGTGTACACTACTGTCCAAGCCAACAGGGGGAAAGCATTGCATGCAGACTCAGATATATGCGAGATAAAAACATGTTGTTTTAGCTCAAACAGCGCCTCTCTGGAATTCATCATTCCTCAAATACCAGTGATGAGGGATTCCCCATTCCTAGCAAGGGTGGGTGGAAAAGAGCTTTTAAAATATTAATATTATTATTAATAATATTTTTATAAATTTCCCATTAAGAACATCCAATTAATAACAAATCAAATCAAATCATAATCCAATTCAAAAACAAAACAAAACAAAAAACTAAACTACAATCTGAATTATTTATTATTACCGTATTTTTTGTTCTATAGGACGCACTTCTTCCCCTCCAAAAATCAAGGGGAAATGTGTGTGTGTCCTATGGAACGAATGCAGGCTCCTTGGCTTCAGCGATAGCAACGCGAAGCCTCCGAACCACAGAGGGAGCGCTCCCTCCACGCTTTGGAGGCTTCGCGTTGCTTTCGCTGAAGCCTGGAGAGTGAGAGGGGTTGGTGCACACCGACCCCTCTTGCTTTCCAGGCTTCAGGGATAGCCGCCTGAAGCCTTCGGAGCGCAGCGCGAGTTCCCGCTGCGCTCCAGAGGCTTCAGGTTCCTGTCGCTGAAGCAAGGAGATTCTTGCTCTCCCGACTTCAGCAAAAGGAACCCGAAGCCTGCGACCCCTCTCGCTCTCCAGGCTTCAGGGATAGCCGCCAGAAGCCTTCGGAGCGCAGCATGAGTTCGCGCCGCACTCCGCAGGCTTCTGATTCCTTTTGCTGAAGCCGGGAGAGTCTTGCTCTCCCAGCTTCAGCAGAGAGGGAGAGCTGTGCAGCACCCCTTCAGTCAAGCGGGAGGAGAAATGGAAGGGGCTCCGTTTCTCCTGCTGCTTCGCTGAAGGGGCGCTGAGCAGAGAGGGGGAGAATTTTTTTTCTGTGTTCTCCCCCTCTAAAACAAGGTGCGTTCTATGGTCTGGAGCATCCTATAGAGTGAAAAATATGGTAAATTTCACATGGACTTCCAATATTCTGGACCTCTGAAGAACTCATATCGCATAATGATATTTCTGCCCTCTTCTTCTTGTTCTCATATTTTCCACATTCTGATCTTAAACTCTCAAAGTCCTCAGTCACTGGCTAATCAATTCTCAATCATGTTAAACAATCATATATCCTTTCATCTGTCAGGCGTAGTTTAATTTGTATATATACTGTGTGTGTGTGTGTGTGTGTGTGTATGTGTGTGTATTTCCTTTGTCTGTTTGCAAAGGAAGCTTTCCCTGGCTCACTCTTATCTTCCAGTTCTGGCTCTTGTCCAAGCCTGCCATTTGAAGTTTTATGATGCAGTAAATTCCCAAGTTGTTGAGTTGTTAAGCATACTGTTCACAAATATATGTAGCAATTAAAATGGAATATATTCCACGGATATAAATCATTTGGCAATTGATCAGCTTTTCCAGGGACCACACAAGTCTCCCCTCTAGGGAGGGGAGTTGCTAGACACCCATTTCGCTTTCTCTCCCACCCATAAAGAAGAAAAACCTTCAAACAGGTGCACTGTATGTTGTGGGATATTTCCCAAATTATTGTCTCAGATCATTGTGGAATCAGCCAAAAGATGTTCCCCACTCCCACAAAAAAGGGAGGAATTCACTTTTTCCATCCTGTGTCACAACTATAAAGCACCAACTTGTTCTGCTCATTTATCTTTGTCAAGTCCGATTAAAACTGTGCAGCTGACTAATCAATTGCAAATAGAAGTCCATCTGTACTCCGTTTAATTTTTTTTAGGTCTTTTTTAATGAGGCTCAGCATATAAAAGCAAATGTAGATATAAAAGAGAGAACGTACTGATCACCTCTGTAAATCCAAGCACCATGATGAGAATCTCTTTGAAGTCCAAACTTACATACCAGCAACTGTGCAGTTCTGCAGATTGTTTCCCTTATCTCCATCAGTCCAGAATACGCCTGTTTTCAGCCAAATCTTATTAATTTTTAAGAAGCAGGTGTCCCTGCTTGAGAGAATGACTCTGGAGAGTGCCCAGTTTCCGTGCCAGGCTTGGCACCCAAAGTGCCAAGGTTTGGCATCTTGTTGTGGGGGCCAGATAACAGACTCTCTGGGTGAGACAGCCCTCTCCTACCCTGGAGAGGTCGGCAGGACTAATTACTCCCATATTAGTCCTGAATTTCTGGCACTACTGGGGGTCCGATCTCATGGAAGGCAGCCATTTCCCTCGGCAGGAAAAAGGAAGTCTGAAAAGATCTGGTAAAATATGAGCCACCTAAATCTCAGGTGAAGGAGTAAGGTTTACAGTCATACCATGTCTGTTCGACTTCCAAAACAGTCTTTGACTTTGAAAACCAAAGCAAGGCTTCTGATTGGCTGCAGAAAGCTCCTGCAGCCAATCCAAAGCTGTGGAAGCCCTGCTGGACGTTCAGCTTCCCAGAACGTTTGAGAACTAAGCTATTTGAAAACCAAGGTACAACTGATCTGAGACAAACCACAGCAGTGATATTTAGTTTTTCATGGCTCTCGGGGGTGAGGAACTGGAGCACTTATGGCTTTTTCGGGTATTAATTTGTCCTATCACACAGCTACTATAGGCACAACCCCCCCCATCAATATTGTCTATTTTCTCATACCATTAAGTTGAAAAATGTAGTGAAGATAGAGTAGAATCAAAAATATACAATTTGACTATGTAAAGCTAATGGATGTTAAGATGACTTAGTAAGTTGAAGACAAAAATGTGATGGCCTGAGTATTGTGGCATGATCTCCAATAACCCAACTGGAAAGAAGTTCTAGAGGCAGTGATAACAGGGTTTGGCCATCAGCATCTGTTCTTATATGGCGGCAGAACTGCTATTCCACCTCACATCCCCAGAAAGAGACATTTTACAGTGTATCCCCAGATGCTGCTACCCTTCAGCTCACTTTTCTCCGCACCCTCAATCTTGTTCGGTGCTGCGTCTGCACCACACAATTTAAGTTGAGTGGTTAGGCTCAGTATAGGGAACAACTGTGTAGCAAAGTTAGTTTTTACTTTGGGGGCAGAAAGACACAGAAAAAACAAACTCTACAGTTGCTACAAGAAGTCGCCACTCTCTGAGCCCAGAGAGCATTTTGACTTATAAAGTCCTTGATGAGGCAAAGTCGACACAGTAAGAACAAAGTCCAGTTGTTAACGAAGACCTGCAACTGCCAGAGTTCTCTCAGTCAAAAGTCTTGCAATGTGTCCAAATTCTTTCAGACAAGTTCTTCACAAATTCCTCCACTTTTTAACCGGATTATTCCAACAGTCTCCATGTCTCCAGTTCTCCATGTATCCTGAGCTATGTGTTAGTTTGCCCAGTAACACAAACAAGACAGTCAAAAGATGCATGCAGCTGCATTTTTAAGGGGGCAGGGAAACATTTCTGCTGACTCAAAGAGAAGTAACACTTTCCCACTTTCCTTAATACTTCAGCAGTGGAATGAAACCAGCTTGCTTTACATCAAATAAATGATGGAGTCATACATTTGTAATGTTGTACATCCCCATGATGGATGCTGGAAAAACAATACGTCTACTTGGCAAGTTACAGTGGGGAAAATTAGGAAA